CCCCTGCTGATATTTTATCAGGGCATATGCTACAATGCTTTCCTTTCAGATTAAAAAAAAATAATAAAAAACACTGAAAACAGGTTTGTGAAGAGCAGCAACATGCCTTAAATACTCCTATTTCTTTTTGATTTTCATGTCCAAAAATAAAACCTTTATTTTCTACATACATTGAAAAACCATAGCAAATGATTTCAACTCATCAAGGAAGAAGGAAATTTTCAGTATGTACTTTAATGCTTTTATTGAATGTGGTACAAATTATGAATGGATATATTTTATTTAAAAACACATTATTGACAGAAATCTATCAATAATAATGTGGGTATTGTCAAGGGCCTGTCAATATTAATGTAATTATGATTAAGAGGATAGCATGGATTTTAGCTATAATACCAAGTAACATCTCCTACATTGCCGCTATCAATATACACATTATTATTGACCTGTTCTGGGACTCTCAGTACTAGATGTATTATCATTAAACATATTTGTCAATGCATACTGCCTACAGAAATTCTACATTTAAATTTATAGTCCTGCAAACGTCGTCAGCAGAAACCTCTAAACTCCGATGACTCTCTAGGCCATCTACTGCTGGGAATGCATCCTTAGTAGGACAGAAATCACAGCTACATTGTCGTAGAAAGTCCATTAATCAAAGTGGATAGAACTATAACTTCACTTTATTTCTCTCTAGGTTTTTATATGCTTTAGGTTAAAACTTCATACTTGGAGGTTATATGAATAATCTCTAAGTGCAGACCCTAAGTTTTGAATCTAAGAAGATATTCTTCGAGTAGTCAGATAGATTTACTGTCCATTGTACTGAAATCAATACTAGCAAGTGGTACATGCATCAGAGAGGGACTTAACTGGATTCCCAGAGTCCACTTCAAACATCCGTAAGAGTAAAGCTATGGCTGAGATTCATTAGGATACCATGACCTCTGGTACTCTGAACAGTGCTAAACCCTATCAAATCTCACTTTTGTCAGACTTGCTAAATTAATTGTAACTACTCTGTTGTTCCTCTATCACAAATAAATTTATTTTCAATACTTTATAGAGAGTCAGTTGAATAAATCACAATAATGCTCATTTGGATACATCCAAGACACATGAAGCTTTCAAACTGTGGACATTAGGTCTTCAAATTCGTTTTCACTTGAATGCAGTCCTTAATCAAAACTGTAGTATTTTCTTAACTTTTCTGAAATGTATGAAAAATAAAAGGGATGCAGAGTTCTCACAAAACAGAGTAGCAATAAGCTCCCTACCGGAGGGGTGTGTGTGTGTGTGTGTGTGTGTGTGTGTGTGTGTATATACATACATATATATATATAATGCACCTAAGAAACCAAACCAAAAGGTATAATTTTCAAGACTACAATTCATATTACACACACACCCTCCCGCAAAGGCCTCGCTCACTTTAGCTACTGTATACTTGTTTTAGTTTATAAGGTTAACTAAAACACTATCTTAAAGCCTTAGAATCTGCAACACCTTGACTTAACCTTGCCCATTTTATTTAAAAGAAAGCAGCAGTTCACATATTCTTCTCTTTCAGAAAGTTGCTAATCCTACATCATACTGAGGGCATACTGCAACACTAAAGAAAGAGATGATTGAGTGCACACAGGAAACGGCATGCCAAAGAGACTCTGGACAAGTCATTTTACTACAACACATTCTTCATCAACTGAGGTAAAAAACAATGGTATACAAAAAATCATACTTTACAAGAAGTGTTTTAACAATGCTTGGAAGGAGGAAATTAGAAAACAAAACCCCCTTTTCAATTGGAGACATGGTAATAGTAAAAACTGACTTTGAAAAACTGTAAAGAAAATATCCATGATAAAAGGATAGTCATAGAAAAAAATAAAATAAAAATTAGGACATAAAAAGATTAGTTACTACTATAAAGTCATGGTGCTAGATGTGGCGGAGCATGCTCTGTACCTGTGGCCAATACCAACAAGGTGATGCTGGCCTAGAAGTATGACTACTTTAAGGTGGCACCAGAGGACACACTGAAGGAATTATTTTCACAGGCTAAGTAAGCCTGACGTGCACAAATACCAACTACAGCAAACTTTGATTCTAAGCATGCACAGACAGACAGATGAAATACCTGGAGAAACACCATCTTCAAAGTATTCTGTAAATTCAGGGATTTTTCAAATCAACTTACTTAAGAGAATTCCAAATGACTTCAAAATTATTAGAACATAGATTTAATTGCAATTTTTATGGTAAAAGAGAATGGGAAAATATCCCCAAATGAACAAACAAGTATCAAGCACGGAACAGAAATTACCAAGTGCTACCTAATTGTACCAGTTACTACATATTTCCTTTATATTGTGTCCTGGAATCTGTCTAAAACAGTAGCTATTGTTAACTCTACTTTAAAGCAAAAATAATTTAAGGTTAAGTAACAATTAATAAATTGCTGGTAATCACTACAAAATTTGTAGAATACAACAAAAAGCATTTTTTTCTTTTGTTCCTCAAGATCATTCAAGAGACCAATTTCATAACCAAGCTCTCCGAACTACAGATAAAGAAAGAAATTAAAGGAATGTGGTAAGTCACCCAAGCTCCCATCCACATTCCCTCCCCTATACACACGGTCAAGAGAATCAGTCAAAGGGATTGAATATCCTAACAAAGAGATTTATATGGGGAAAATATGTGGCATGATAATTTATTATGAATACAGAATTGTATGTAAGATAGATGTTATGCCAACAAATCTACCAAACACAAGGGTTATACAAGATAGAGACAGAATTACTTTGGAGTTCCTGGCTGATATGTTTTAATAAGAAAGAAAAGACAACTGGGTGGTATTTTGTCTTACTTTACTCACTCAGGAAAGAAATCTGAGCTCCGGTAAAAAGGAATACATATCACATACAGGGAAAAAAAAAAAACGCCAACGTAGAAAGGGACTTTTGAGTCTACTGAAGGAGATGGGCTGGAAAGGCTCACAGCCCATACTGGAAAGGCCAGTGGGTGAAGGATCCTATCCCTATCCCCTCTTACATGTATGAAAACCATAGTACTCAGCTTAAATCAGTCCTAGGCTCACAGTCAAGGAGAGACGGAACAGTGAGGCTTTTCTCCCAAGGATTGTCTCACATTCTGAAGGAATGAAGGATGGCCACAGAAGACGTAGAAGCTACTTGTACTGCACAGGAAAGAGACAGGGAACATGTAGCCTACATTCCTGTTGTCCAACCCAGATCACCAAGAATGTGTGAAAGGTGCAAGCAATCTCAAGTGAATCTTGTTCAGACATAAAAACTGATGCCGCTCACATTTTCTTTGTACTCTAGGGACCTGAAAATTACTTAATGCCCTGAAGATCGTATGGTGCTAGATCTTTAATTTTATTAGACAAGGGATGACCAGAAAGTCCTCACATACTTTCCAGGCTCAGAAACTGAATTGGTTAAACAGAAAATCACTGCAAGGACTTTCATGCCCATCAATTTAAACAAAATTTTAATTACAGTTAAAAAAAATAAGAATAATCAGGAGGAAGGGTCAAAAAAGACAGAATTAAACTTGAAATACTATTTTATAAAATGAAACAGCATTGCCATATTTGTTCCTTTTAGAAATTATGAATACATGACTTTAGGATGTCAGAATTACTAAATGAATGCATACAGAAAACAAATGAACAATTGTCCTAAGAAGGAGAATTTTCATGCTAAAAAGCAAGACAAATCATCTGGTTCGAGATATGAATTAAATCCTAACAGGGAAACTGTTATAAAAGAACATATAAATAGCTGTGCTTGTTAAACTACAGCTGACAGCCGCCTTGCTCTGTCTCTCCTCTGCATGGCTCCAGGAAATTTCTACAAAAGTTCTTTTATGGAACAATTTTAAAACCACAGATTGAGTGCTGCCTCTAATTACTAAAAAAGAGAATTAGACAAAAAGGTAAAGCTGGGCAGAGGCGAACTATAATCAAGACTAGAATTTAATTCTTTTCATTTTAGTGGCCTAGTATCCTACTTTAGTTTTTAAAGAAAAAAAAAAAAGGGGGGCTCTTTTCTCCCCCCCTCCCAACTAATTCTACTGACTCGTCTTTCAAATATCCTGGCTCATAGTCTTTCCACTATAATAGTTCTGGATACAAGTAACTGGTAATACAGAAAGGATCATGACAGTAAAAAGAAAGAAACTCCAAATCCACTCTGTTCAGGTTTAACTAAAGGCTACACATTCCTGGAAGGTGTTTTGACTACAAACTGGTAAGGGAGTCGCGGGTGGGGCTCTTAGTCATAAATCAATTATCTAAAATAGTCTAGATGGAATCTGGCAAAGGATGCCATGGAATATATGAAACCGATAGATGGGAAAGTTTCAATCCGTGAAAAATCCTTTTGCTAAGTGTTGCTGGGTGGAAAATGGCACGTGAACAAATTAGCGAACCAACAGACTTTTAAGGACCCCCAAAAGAACATAAATGATTATCACAATCCTTATTAACAACCAATGAATTTCAATGTACGTCAGAAACTATCTTGTAAGAAAACCTTCAATCCCTCCTCCCACGGAGACCACGACCGAGAGATTAAGTGAATGGGCTCTCGAAAAGGCTGAAACTCCAAAACACTGAAAAAAAGTTTTTCATAAACCGCGAGAGATTCTTATTTAAGAGTTAAAGAATTCAATTTAGTACTATTAATGGCGAGAAGGCGCTTTCGGGGCTGTCTGCAAAGTCGCTCCGGGCAATGCAGAGGCTTGTTCTCTGCAGAGTCGCTTTGTTTGTGTGACAGAGTTAGACTAGGGGAAAGCTAGGTCTTTGGATTTGTTTTACTGCCTTTCCGGAAACCTAGAGACAAACTGGCTCCTTCCAAAAAGACAGGAAGCCACGGAGGCCTGCAGCCAAGGCGAGCGTCGCGAGGCCATCCTCCGAGAGCGCGGGACCCGCACGCCTGACGGCGGGGCACCTCCGAGCGGACACTGACCTGCGGGGTCTGCGGAACGCCGGGGCGCCGCGCAACCTTTTCTCAAACATTCTCTGCCAAGCTGGGCTTTTCCTAGCCGAATCTGGGTCGCCCTCGCTTCCGGAATCGCGGGCTTCCGGAAAGACCGGAGACCCGGAAGTGGCTGAAGAGAAACCTGGGAAATTACACCCGGCAGAAATACCGGGTGTGAGGAAAGCAGGATGAGCCACGGAAAATGCCGAGGAGCCGAGGAGCCGAAGGGACGAAGAGAGGAAGGGACGAGACGCCGAAGAGGACACTCCGCGCCCTGGGATTGGTCGGTGAAGCTGCCTCTGATTGGCAGAAGAGTCACCAAGCGGTCAGCGCGGGGTCAGGGCCAGGCGTGAAGAGGCTTTCCCGTCACGGCCCGGCGGGACGTCTGGGCTCTGCGGGCGGGCCCTGGGCCTACGTCCGCCGCTGCGGGCCGCTGGACAAGCGCGGCAGGCTGGCGCCCGGGGGCCTGCACACCTGAGAGCTGGGGATTGACCATGGGTTCTCGTGGGTGTCGGACTAACCTTGTCCCCAAGTGTGTGGCAGCGCCCTAGGTCCCCATCGGGCAGCCATTGGAACAGAGGTTGCAAGCCACACGGTGGAAGGCAATCCATCGACCACGAGCAGGAATGGCCCTGGCTGGGTGGGTTGGTCGTAAGGGTCTTAGGAAATCAGGCAGAGCTTACACCGAAGTTGTAAGATCTTTCTAATGCTTGCAACCCCGCCCCGCATCCACCCTACACCAGCTGGACCCAGGCTTGAGGAAGTAGTGATACAAGAATACCATTGTTGCCAACACCCCAAACCCTTTCCTGGTACTTTGTTTCAGGAATTACCCCAAGCACCAGAGTTCTTACTCAAAGCATGGCACATGGACAAGATAAAGGAGAATGTAATAAGAACCTCAGAACCATGCGCTCAGTACAGTTCTGATTCGTTGTTTTAAAAACACAGTGTGCTATCACTTAGCATCCAGAGTAACTTCTGTACATTAAAGGAGAAATTGGGAGCAAAGTAGGGTGGAGGACAAAGAAGGCAAACAAATCCTTTTCTACCAAGTAACCCCAACAGTGTAGAAGACACAACACAGTAGGAGGAGCTCCAGGTTGCTATGATGGGTATGGAATTCAGATAGGAACTGGAGGGAGGGGTCTAGAAATGCAGCCTGTATACTCACCCCGTGGTAGTCACTATCTTATTGTGACTGGTTGTAAATACAGCCTATTCTAACTGTAAGGTATAGACACGATTCTAAGACAGCATAGAGGGATACAAAATACTTATCAGTTTGACATATTGACCATTATATTGAAAATGTTCCAAAAAGTTTAAATTAATGTTCCCATTTATGTTGGGGGCTGCTGTTCAAGAGCCTTGTTCTCTTTGAAGAGCAAGGCTTTGACTTAGTTGTGTAGGAAGGTGCCTATGTTGCCTTTCCTAGATAGCCCAAGGCTAGGGTGTGATTGTTTATTTTTGTTTTTGTTTTTTGCTTTTGAGATGGGCTTTTGCAGTGTACTATGGTTGGCCTGCTGAGCAGGAGGGACAAATTGGATCCTAGATACTCATAAGCACCTCCTCTTGAATCCTTCACTATGACTACCACATATAAGTACATACACACATACACACAAAATAATTACATATAAACACACGACACACATGTGCACACATAATAATAGAGAAGACATTTTCAGAAAGCATCTACAGTTCAAAGAGTTTTAGTAGGTCTCATGAACATCACCGTATCTCAATAACAAAGATCCCACCTTCACGGGAGATTTGAATTATATTAGATGATTCTTAAGAATGTCAGAAAGTACAGCATTTAAAATTACTGCCGAAAAAATTTAAAATAATTTCTGATATATTAATATAGTATACTTCTTTATTTATTTTTGTAGAAAGCTAGTAGTTTCAGAAAACTTGTTTTTATTATTTTAAAACTTTTCTTAAAAATATATCCACTCATTTATTGAACAAAACCCTGGGCCGGGTTTTATTCCTGGGCCCCAAATATTGCTAGAGAGTGTTAATGAGAAAACAAGCCAAAGGGAAGACAGACATGGCCTATTTCTAGGAGCTAATGAGGATCAAGTTGGCGACTGTGTAGATAATAAGCAAGGCATAGTGTGTTTTGTATTTGTAAATTCAGCACATTAATATTTTAAGCCTAGAATTATTTGTTCAGGTGTACTTAAAGAAAGAATCTTATGAAGACTTGACTGTGGTCTTTTTTGAAGCACTGAAAAAGTTAATATATTTCATTTCCTATGAGAGTTTAAAGAAGAAAAATTGATTATTCTTTTACCTTTAAGTACAAAGAAAAATATTATAATGGCATCTTATATCCTCCTTTTGCCTTTTAGTGGCTTTTAGGCTCTAAAGAATTTAACAATAAAAATGTTAAGAACACATTGATTTATGCCTCTAACATATTTTAAAATTGCTGACTTTAAGAAGGTAAATTTATATTAGCATATTACATTATTCTTAAATCAATATAATTGGGTCTTTTAAGAAAAACTTGATCATACAATCTTTTTATTTTAGTATTGCTGCTTTAAAGAATTACTGCAAAGTTAGCACTTCAAAACAATCTATTTTTTATATCTCAAGATGTGCCTCAGTGCAATAAAATCAAGGTGTCTACAGGCCATGTTTTTTCTCAGAAGCTCAGTGGAGGAGTGTGGGCCTTTTGCTCACTGGTTGTTTAGTAGTTTGCCAAATTTATCTATTTGCTGTTGTCAGGTTGAGGTTTCTTTCCTTTTTTTTCTCTTTCTTTCCTTTTCCTTCCTCCCCTTCCTTTTCCTTCCCTCACTCTCCTCCTCTCCTCTCTTCTTTTTCCTGACTTTGGTTAGAAGACAACTTATCCATTGCCTGGATACCACCTACAGTCTCTATTTGGGGAATGTCTTCCTCTATCTACAGGTTAGCAACAGGGGGTGAGACCCTCAGCCCTTCTTTCCCCATTCCATGCTTACATCTCCTTAATCACTGGTTTTACAAAATCCCATTTGATTGTTGCCTTAGTTAGGGTTTTACTGCTGTGAATAGACACCACAACCAATGCAAGTCTTATAAAGGACAACATTTAATTGGAGCTGGCTTACAGGTTCAGAGGTTCAGTTCATTATCATCAAGGCGAGAGCATGACAGCATTAAGGCAGGCATGGTACAGGACGAGCTGAGAGTTCTACATCTTCATCTGAAGGCTACTAGCAGAATACTGACTTCCAGGCAGCTAGGATGAGGATCTTATAGCTCATACCCACAGTGACACATCTACTCCAACAAGGCCATACCTACTCTAACAGGGCCATATCTTCTAATCGTGCCACTCCCTGAGCCAAGCATATATAATTCATCACATTCCACTCAGGGGCACCCATAGGTTTGTTCAAGCCCATGAGTCTATGAGGACCATACCTAAACATAGGATAATGCAGAATACATTTAGTCCAACTTCAACAGTCCCATAGTCTATAGCAGTCTCAATAATATTGAAATTCCAAAGTTCAAAGACTCTTCTGAGATCCATCCAATCACTTAACTGTAATCCCTGAATAAAGACAGGAAACCAGCTGGGCAAACTACAAACAATGCATCTCCATGTCTGATGTCAAGGCAGTTTTCAGATCTCCAACTTCTCCTTCATCTTTGTTGACTGCAAACAAGCTTCTTTTCCTGGGCTGGTTCCACTCCTTGTTAGCAGTGTTCCTCAGGAGATATTGGATGGCTCAGGCATCTCAAAAGTCTTGGGTTCTTCCAGGAAACTTCAATGTTACAGCTTCTTGTTTCAGTGTCTGGGATCCACACATGATCTTCTGGCTTCTACAAAGGGCTAGTATCACTTCTCCAGCTCTGCCATCTGAAGCACTCTAAGCTCAGGCATTGAGCCACTCCATTGCTGTTGCTGTTTTTGGTGATCATTCCATGGTACTGGTATCTCTAATCTGCTGGATCATTCACTGCAGCTAGGCATCACCAGTAGCCTCTCATAGAATCTCTTCATGATGCCAAGCCTCAACTCCTTGGAGCATGACTTCTTCAGTCCTGGCCCATCAACTAAAACTGAGGCTCCATCTTCAGTAATGGCCTCCCATGGCCTCTCACAGTGCCAAGCCTCAGCTGCATTTCATGACCCCTTCAAGCCTTCAAAGCCAGTATAACCTGGATCACTCTAACACATTATCAAGTGCAGCTGCAGCACGAGGTACAACCTTGACAACCTTGGCTATCTCTGGAACACAGCTTCTTTGTTTTCTCAGAAAACACTTCCCAGAAGAATTCATCTCAGTGATACTGATCTCTTCTTAATCACTGCTAATTTCTAAGCTCCAGCTAATCAGCATCAATTGACCCAGTAGTCTCCTTCTCCTCTTGAATATAAACCAGAGACATACAGCCAAATCTGCTGAGTTCTGCTGCTTTCAGGAGCTGGAACATGGCCCCCTTGATCTATTACATTATCACTAGCTTCCTCTTTTTCAACTCCTTCACTACCTAAGTTTGGCTGACCTGGATTAACCTTAAACTCAGAGATCTGCATCCCTGTCTCCTATGATTAACGCTGTGTACCACCATGCCTGAATTTATGCTTTGTTTCATGCTGGTCTTGAACTAAAGAGATCTGCTTGTCTTTATCTTTGGGATAAAGGTGTGCACCACCATTCCTGGATCTAAATTTAGCTGAGTAGGATCTTGCCCCAAAGTCCCACTCCCTTAAATTGATAATTCCTTGAACATAGAATTTAGTTCCATTCTACTTCCTGGTACTGCACTAATACTCGAACCAAACATTTTATATTTTGTCTTTCTCAGGTTGGTAAGCATCTTTAAAATGCTCTTCATAAGATTTAAGAATAGAACAAAGTCTCTGCTGGGCGTTTCTGAGACTTCCTTTATCAATGCAATTAATCTGAGTCTCTTTACCTTAGCCTCAGGAAGACTCCTCAGACAACGGCAAAAAGCAGCCACATTTTTCACCAAAATACTACAAAAACTGTCTCTAGGCCACATACTGAAGTTCTCCCCTAAAACCTGTTGGGCCAGGTCTGCACAGTTCAAATCATTCACAGCAACAAAGTCTTTCAGGTTCCTACTAGGATGGCTCTTTAAGCCCCACTTAAAACATTCCATGGCTTTCCAAATTCAAAGTCCCCAAATCCACACTTTTTAAAACAAAAATATGGACAGGCCTATCACAGTGATACCCCACTCCTGGTACCAACTTCTGTCTTAGTCATG